GTCTGGAGTGATTTTGGATTAAGCTGGTATTTTACTAAACCTTGTGTTAAAACCCTGCAACAGTAGGTATTCAGCGTGTCCTCGGCATCTTCTTTTAATGATTAGCTGGAAAGCTTCCTGTCATACCCATCTGAACCTTCCCACAAAACCCTGTCTAACTTCTTGTTATGCTGGTTGGTACTTGGAGGACATGAGGAGTAATTTATTAATCACTCTTTATAGCCTTTGTGTAGAGACTTGTACACAGGCTTTGTGTACACAGCAAGTTTTCTTACTGTGGCCTTTCAATACTTAAAGAGGGTCTATAAGAAAGATGGAGACAGACTTTTTAGTAGAACCTCTTACAGTAGGACAAGGGGTAATAGTTTTAAACTAAAAGAGGGTAGATTTAGACTAGATGTGAGGAAGAAATTTTTTGTGGTGAAACACTGGCACAGGTTGCCCAGAGAGGTGGTCAATGCACCATCACTGGAAACATTCAAGATCAGATTGGATGGGACTCTGAGCAACCTGATCTCATTGAAGATGCCCCTGTTCACTGCAGAGGCAGGGTTGGAGCAGATGACCTTTAAAGGTCCCTTCTAACTCAAACTATTTTATGATTCTATTAGTCTTCATCAGAGAATAAGAACTAAAAAATCCTGTTTGCCCTATATATTCAATGGGCTATGCTATTTTAGAGCATCAGCAATGTGTAGCTTGGTTTGAGAGATGTAATGCCACAGGTGGGAATTCTGAGTAAGTTGCTGAAGCTTGAATTCCTTGGATGTCTCCTGAGTGTCTGGCAGCGCAGCAGCGTGGTCAGTGCCAGGGCCAGCTCCTTAGGCTGTGTAGCTGCTACTGGAGCCTGGTACAGGCAGCTCAAGAACTGTAAATGTTGGGTATCTGCATTGGCTTTTTGCCAGGAAGCAAGTGTTCCTGGTGAGGGGCATCGTGAGAATGACTGGGAATGCAATGCAATCTCATGCAACATTCCCTGGTCATCCCAGCCCAGGAGGCATCACTGATAAAGTTCACATTTGCCCCTAACTTCAGGCTAGTGATTTTATCTAAGGCTGCATTTCTCTTCAACTCTCTTAACAAATGGCTTCAGCTTTGTGTCTGTTGGCGCTTGGTCCAAATAATCTTCCGTGTTCTCTATCCATATGATCACTTCATCTCCTTCCACCCACTTCTAATTTCTTTCCTACATATCAGTACTTCTCAGAGCCTTTTCATTTTCTTTCCCTCTCCTTGCTATTAACCTCGTCAAATACTCTTGTTTCTGTGGTAGAATTGGGAATTGAAAGCGCCAGTGCTTTTGGATGAGATATGGTAAGAAAACAGTTTCCCACTTTCAAACAACTCTGCTTCTGCCCTGCTTGGAAGAAGTTGCAGTGTTTCATAAAGCAAGCTCAATGGATGAGCAAGATATGAAAGATCTAAAAGTGTCAAATTCATAACTCCAAGGGAATACAGAATATAGATTCAAGAACTTCTGATTCCATGTGTCGAATCTGCACGTGGTCTTTGAATTTCTGCAGTGCACACAGATGGGAGCAATGCAGGGATCTCAAGGTTTGTGAGTGCTGAGCAGCAAGGTGGAAGAAGTGTACTCCCACCCGGTGTCACTCCTCTTTTTGAAGCCCAACGCAGCGTGGCCTTTCCTCGAACGTGACCTCTTGTGTTTGCCTGGGTGTTGCTATAGCTCTGAGCTATGACATTTGTTTTTACGAGATTTCTTAATCATAGTTTTGTTAGGCTTTTAATTTTTTTTTTACATTTACTCCTGACATAATTAATTTCCCAGTGAATTATGCCAAATTTTTCCAGTCATAAGCTATTAACAAAACAGTAGATCACAGCAGGTTTTGACTGAGAAGCACATATTTATTCAGTGTAACAAAGTACTTTCCTACCCTGTTTCATTGTGGGGTTTTTGGTGGGTTTTTTTTTTAATTTTAGGGAGGAAAAGAATAAGTTAAAAGAGAATCTACTCGTACTTTGTCAAGGCTGCAGTCTATGCGGTGATTAGTATAGAGAATTTCAACTTCCCACACTTGTGGTGAAAGGGAAATTTTGGGTTTTTTTTGTGGGTTGATAGCTTTAGGAGAGTTTGTTAAAACGCCTGTCATATCACCAACATAAATTGCAACGAATGGTTTTACGCCTGGGAGGCCTTGCTAACAGAGATCCCTCCATCAAAATGCTACCGCAAGCACAAGGCCCTTTCTGCGAGCAGTTCCTGGCCAGAGAGCGCAACGTGGACACCAGCACAGCCTGAGCACCGTGTTTTAAACCGCTACTGCTCCCAAATTCCGTGTTCCCCACTCCCACCCCCCTTCGACTGCAGAGCAAGGCTTTGCAAGCAGGGGTCTGCGACATGACAGACCGAGATAGGTTTGTCTGGAGGGATCGGCGTATCCGAGGGGAAAGAGCTTTTTGTTTCTTTTCTATTTATAATTCCTCTTGCTTTCAGCAAAATTCAATGAAATGGCAAATGGACTGATGAAATTCTGGTTTGTTATCCCACTGTGAATCCAAGGATAGTTCTTTTGCCCTCAAGCAAAGCAGAGGAAATGAGAGCAGCTTTTAGTTAAAAATATGTAAGCAAGACTAAAACTTCTGCAGAAGTCGATCCTTTAGGTGCTGGGACAGTTTTTATGCAAGGGACTGTGGTGGCTGTAGAGTCTGAACTCTCCTCAGTAGGAGACTCCACGGGATCACAATTTTGTTCTTTTAAAACCCCAGCTCAGGCTCCAACGCCTTTATCGATGTGCAGGGTGTGGGCGCTGGCAGCGGGGGCTGCGGGGCCTCTGTGAGAAGGGCGCTGCCTCCTGCTGGGCAGGGGCGGGTTCCGGCAGCCCCGCCTCAGGGCACAGCTGAGCGTGTTTATGAAGGGGCAAAGCACTGCCTGGGAGTGAGGGGAGAAGTGTGAGGGAGCAGTGTGAGCCCCAGGGGCGGAGGAGGAGGAAGGGCTGCAGGCTCTGGAGCAGGGGCTCCGTGTGGCTCCTGCAGACCCCACACAGGAGCAGGCGGGTGTGGCCTGAAGGAAGCTGCAGCCCGTGGAGGGGTCTCCTGTGGAGCAGGGGAAAAGCGTGAGGAGGGAGGAGCCGGAGGGAGGAGCCGTTCCGTCCTGCCCATAATGCCGCTCAGGGAGAAGAGGCTGAGGAGTTGGGGATGAAGGAGTGAAGCTGAGTCTGGGGAAAGGGTGGGGTGGGGGGGTGAGGAGGGACAGTGTGGTTTTAATTTTATCTTTCTCTCACTGTCCAAATCTACTTTAATTAGCAATAAATTAATTTTCCCCAAGTCAAGTCCGTTTGGCCCACGAAAGTAGTTGGTAAGGGATCTCACTGTCTTTATCTTGAGCTTTTCCATCTGATTTTCTCCCCTCATCCTGCTGAGGAGGGGGAGTGAGAGAGCGGCTGGGTGGGTGCCTGGATGCAGCCCCAAATCAACCGACCAATGTTGATATGGCAAATAGCGTCATATGTCTCATATTCTGTGCCTTATTCTGAATTTTGGACACTTGAGATTTTTTGCTCTTGGTTTACTTTTTAATTTAACTTTTCTCATCAATATTTGGTATAAAATGAAGTTGTAGTCAAATTTTGTAGCCAGCAATGTTTCTTATTCCCTGTGGTGTTTCTGCTGTGGGATTCAATCCCAGTGAATGCCCAGAAAGGAAGGATCTCCTTGAGGTCCTTTGGCAACCCGGTCTTCAAGTTGGTATGTCTGGAAATAGATGCAAAATTTACTAGAGATGATTTTTGTGTAACTTCCCAGGAGTGTTGTTAGGCCATCCAGTATGAGATTCTGTCTGTGTTTTAAGGCCAGTCATATTACGTAGTCAGGAAAAGCTTAGGTATCGCTGAGGCTGTGGGAGAATCTGGCATTATTTTTTTTCTTTAGAAAAGATGACCCAATACAAGTCTATACAGTGAATTTAAACAATTATGCAAAGTGCTTCATTTTCAGTAAAACTCAATTGTCTTTGATCTTCTGTAGCCTGTATTCCTGTTTGTATCCTTTTCTGAAAATGTAATGCAGTTTTTAAAGTTCCAATAGAAATGAAATTTAAAATCAAAATAGCAAGAGCATAAAGAAAAGTGAAAAGTCTACAGTAGTGGTAACTCAAGGAGCAGGTAGGTAATACAGAATACATTGTCTGGAAAAAAATCCCTTCACATGCAAATATATTGTTCAGAGATGTCAAAATCTGAGAAGTTTACCTGGCAATTACAAGTTTGTGGTGAAGACCTCTTCATCATGCAGCTGTATTTTGTGCAAAGTGAATCTACTGGACTCAGTTACTTGAGGCAGAGTCTCAAACTTTTGTACTTTAGAGAGATTTTTCTCTTTATGCCAGCCTTCCTACATATTTTAAATCTTTCGTGTAAAGTGAAACAGTATTATCGACAGCTGCTATTTAATTAAAAGTTCTCATAATTCTTAGCTGTACTGATAGTGGGGCTCATGTACGATATCACAATCCTGGTAGTTAGTAAAAAATGTTACAGTTTGTTTTTTCCATTATGTAACACACTTGCAGTAGATGATGAGGTTGAGTATTCTATAAACAACCAATTTCAAGCATAAGGATTTGCTGGATATCTGAAACCACTTTGCCAGTAGGAGAGCCTTTAGAGATCCTGGGTTACGATGAGGAGGATAACAAGATCTCTACTGCTACTGCTGAATTTGCAGAACTCGATGTGCATCTTGTGCATTTGATTTGCGTGATCACAAAATGTCCGTGTACAAAGTGTTCAGTGTATCTCCTACCTCCCCAATTACTATGGTCAAAATCTTTTCTTCCTTCTGAAATTTTATACCCATAAGATTGGTCTATGAATTATAGTTACACAATTATAAAGCTTCTTTGAAAGTTTTTCGCCTTAGACTGGGAAACATTTCATTCCTAGATCTGCACACAATAACGTAAATATGTTTGCAGTCTATGTTCCAAAGTGGATACTTCTAATTGTGTTTTTTCTTTTTTCTTTTTTCTCCCTCCCCAGTGGAATTTGATGACTGCAAGGGCAATAACAAATTGAACTTTGAAGTTTCTAACCCAGACTTTAAGGTGGAACACGACGGGTCTTTAGTTGCGCTAAAGAATATCTCGGAAGCTGGCAGAGCCTTGTTTATCCATGCGCGGTCTGAGCATGCTGAGGATATGGCAGAAATATTGATTGTTGGAGCAAATGAAAAACATGGCGCATTAAAGGTAAGATAAATTCAAAGGACTAGAAAAAAGTGCCAACGAGATGCTGCTAGATATTTACATGTGCCATCTAGGACTGTAAGCAGTTTTAATCTGGTAGCAGAGAGATCAAAATCGTTTTCAATTCAGATATTGCCGTAACATTTTAGTACTTTGTTAAAATACAATTTTTCCAGGTTTTAAAAGATGTATTACATCAAGTGTAACTGCTAAACATTCATAAAGAATTGATTCAAATGAAAGAACCCAAGTGTCAAAATTGGCTGGTTCTTCTGGTGTACATTATGCTGCGTAACCACAGTTTGGCCATAGCTGAAAATGGAAAATGATAGTCTAAATGTGTAATTTAGAATTTACAGAACCTTTATATTTACTCCAAGTCTAAGAACATGGGAATGAATTCTATGTTGTGGAATTCAAATTTTCATATAGGTTTGCTTCTCTGATATTGTTATGTGTTATACTATAGAAACATCTGCACACAAATAGCAACAAGTATTTGCACCCTGTCTCTATGCACTACTGATTTTTGTTCCACTCTGTCTACTAAAAGAATGCCATATCTTTTCCTTTCCATGTCTGGATTTCAGTGTAATACTAACTTCATACTATGGGGAAAAAGCACTTCACAAATTGATTGAATTGTTTGCTTCACACCCATGAAAGTAACAAAAGGAAATGTGAGATAGCCTTCACTTCTGTGTCATGGCATTTAGGAGAGAGGCAGGCAAGACAGTTGCTTACTAGACAATTAAGCCTGGTACTTTTACAGACCTGTAATTTCAAGGGAGTATAAAGAAACAATAATAAAAATGACTGATCTATTGTATTGTTTTGGTATTCGGCTGCCAGCATTCTCATTATATTTCCAACAATAGGTTAGTATAACTTAAGTCCTACATTAAAAAAAAAAAAATAGCTTTAGGGGAAAGGTTGAACAAACTTCTGAAAGTCCATGGCTGTAGAAAGGTTTTGGTCTGCACTTTAAGCTGCACGTGATGTGGATATAGATTGCCAGCAGGAGAGAAAGTACCAGAATGGGTAACTGCAGAGAGCTGATGAGAATATTTACATGGATTTTAGTTTTATTTAAATACACTGTTTTTTCACAAAGTTACATTTTAACAAGGTGATACCTGAGAGTGTCTCTTACATGGTGAAGACGTGGATTTAGGACTACACACTGCCAAATGCATAGTAGGTAAAGTACACTTGCAGGAGCTGGTCACTTGGCTGTCCTGTGTCTCAAACTAGCAAGGCATGCTCCTTCAGGTGAATTCACAAGAACGTCCAAATGATTTTATTTTCACTCCAGGTTTTGAAATCTTAGGAGCAGTTTCAAAATGAGGATTCTCATTCTGGAGTTAGAAGTTACTGAAACCACAGAGAGGAGTTTGAGACATCTCTGACAGGAGGTCTGGAGTTAAACTTCAGGGAACTGGTTTACGTGTGAATGTCTGACTCTGAGAATCATATTCTGGAATTTTACTCTGATTTTCTTTGAGAAGCAGCTCTTCAATATCTTTGCGGGGGAGATATTCTATCATAGTTACAATCTAGGGGAAGTCTTGCCTCATGAGTAGGAATTAACAGATGTCTATTTGCGCTGACTGACATAGTTTTGTCAGTGACCTTTCCTCTGTATGTCTTATTTGGTTCTGCGTAGTCTCCCCTCAAGATATTCCAGCAATATTAATTAACGCCTAGTGTTGAAATCTATCACCAGATTACATTCAAAAGCCAAGTCTAATTTGGCCCCACTCCTGGATTCTGTTCCAACCATTTTGTGTTGCTTCAGAGAGAGAAAACCAGTCTAAATCTGGCATATCCTGCCACTTGCCAGTCTTCCCTCAGAGATTATTTCTCAAAGCAATATCACAGCATCATCTCTACCTACATACATCACTTCTTTATGGATTTTGATATTCAGGTCATAACTAGAAGATTATCCTTTTAGCATGGCGCTTCTTGGTGTCTGCAGTGCCACTGAGAGTTACATGATGCATTGATGTGTCCTGGGAAATCCATCTAGTGAGGATCATCCTCTTCTTCAAGGGACTATAAAGATCTTTGGGGCTGGCTGTCCTACTCTGGCCTCAGCCAGCGCTCTGTAGTGGTTAAATCAATGTTTTTTACCAACCATTTCAGCTATTGTTTCCCTATTTTAGACATAACACAGACAGTCTTGTCTTTCTGTTTGTCATGCTTGATAAAGATTACAGCATCCTATCTAAAGTGATTTTATGATAAATTTGAACTTAATCCTGTACTTTTACAGTCTGAATGTGTCAGCATGGAAGCAGCAGAACTGCTCCATCTGTTTATGTAAAGAGTCTTGGCTAAGAAATGCTCAGATGGAACTTTAGTAATTCAGCATAATTCTGTGGGGTTAAGATGAGCACATGCTAGAGCACTGCTTAGCATTCAGTACTTAGCGTGCAGTACCTTGTTTAATTAGGGGATAAGTAGTTCTTAAGTATTTCCCCACTGCCAGCAACTGCTGTTTCTTTTCTGAAAGCATGTAACCTACATCTGTGAAATCCCATTGTTAATGTTTCTAATTGCAGATTCCCAACATGTTTGGAAATGACTGACAGCAATGGTCTTTAATGTGCTGACTAGCAGTCTGAGCCTGGGAAGAGGTAGCATAATTCTTAAAACTTTGTGGTTGATACCAACCGTACTCTAAACTAATATTGAAAATATTTAGAGGTGCAATCTGGAGCAGAAAAGCTTTTGGTATTCTTGTGGTGGAGAGTTGTGGTTCTTACCCACTGAAGATGTGGGAAGATTCCAGCTGGCATCACTGATCAGTCCTGTGTGATGTACTTGAACTAACTTCATGGCCAGAGTATAATCAGTGGCTGCTAGAATACCACTTGCTATCTAACTCTGCCTTTTGAGTCTGAAGGGTATGTTTTCCTACTCTTCTGCTAGACGCATATTAGATGTGCAGATCCTCAGCTTGCTATCAAAGGGTGGCCATGACTACAGTCTGAGAAGGTAGATGGTTCCTCAACATCATCAGCCAACTTGGCTGGTACACTCTGATCCCAGAATCTTTTGCAGGGTCTAGTGACAGAGGAGCAGATACAGCACTGCTGCTTTTCCAGATGTCTGGACAGTTTTGCAAAACACCCATGAATGTCTCTACTTACAGATCTGCATACGTGCTATTGAGAGCAAAAATCTGTACATCAGATTACAGTTAGATTGCTTTCCATAACCTGCTGCTGGTGCCCATTTCTTCCTGTGATTTTGGCCACATATATTGGTTTCTGTCTTGACAGAGGGGCATCTTCACAAAAAAGCTACTTGCAGTTTTAAGAGGCCTGTGGAATATGAGTACACAGAAGAGTTGCTATGGGCTGGTGGAAGACGTAACATTACAGTGTGTCATCTACTTAATAGTTAGGTGTGTGTACACACGTATACCTGCGGGCAGTCAGAGTGCCCAGTGAAAGAAGTGACGTTCACTTGCCTTCTCCGTGGGGCAGTGCTGGTGAGGCATGCACATCTGTGCTCGTGCTCTGCTTTGCCCGATGCTCACTTAATACCCTTTCACACAGTCAGGACTTCAGTGCTTGGTGATGTTAAAAAAAATACTTGGAAATGTTTTGATTTACTCAGGATTCCCAAAATGAACTTTGTGTTTATTCTCAATATTTCACAGAATTGCTAAGGTTTAGATCCCTGCTGGAAACGTAAATCACTTGCAAACCCTAGTGGGAACAAACTTACCGAGCGAATGAGTGGCAATAATTATTTGTTTTAACTTATTTCTTATTCAATGCTTTGTCCCTGCTTTGTTTTATGGAAATAGTAGGACAGCTGAAAACTGGAAATTTCATTGCATCTAAGCATTTGACCAGACTTTCGTGGTTTTATTTATTTATTTAAGGAGCCTGGTTTTGTAGAAGACAGAAAGTATAGCCAGTCCTCTGTAAAGTCTCATAACAGATTGTGAGTTTCAAAATGCAGCAAGCTGGGAATTGAACTGTGTCCTCCAAGGCTAAATAAAATGATTGTCTGCTAGTCTTCCTCCCCCTCTGTAATCTAATGCTGGTTTTAATGAATATACCCTCAGAACACTGGGAGCTAAAAGAAAAACCTTGGGAAACAATCTTTCTCTGCCTTTTTTTGTGTGTTGGTAAAATGCAGTGCTTTTTTTATTTTTCCTGCAGCAAAGGATGTTATTTAGGACTTTTATTTGTTACAGCATCACAGACGCAGGGTGAGGGTGGGGGAGAGTGAGATATCAAGAGTCTGGCACCAAAGCAGATAAGAGGGCAGGCAGATATTCAGAAATTCTAGGCTGGTAGTAACTTCACTGTATGGTGCTCAGCAGTCTTCCATACAGAAGGATGAAATGATTAAATAGAAACTGTCAGACCCTCAGGACACTTTTCAGGCACTAGATGGAAAAGGAAAAAGAAAGAAAAGAAGAGATAAGAGGGTGGAGCGCACCCTGAGACAGCGTGTTGTAGACAAAGAAAGCGTAAAATCATCTCCGGTGGTAGCTCAGGTTGAAGGAAATGAAGTTGCTCTAGTCCTGCTACTCTGTCCAGTCCACTTTGTAGCACCTAGAGGCTAGTCAGATATGCTGCTTCTACTTTTCCGTTTGTCAAACCATTACTTTTCCCAGCATCAATACCCCACTATGTTTATTATAGCGGGGACCGGAGAGGCAGCCTGGCTGCAGACTTCCCTAGCCGCCTTGCAGACCTGAATTCTGTTTCTTACGAAGTCACTGCCTGAATGTATATATTTCTGCAAGCTGCTTTATGCCTCTGCCTCAGTTTCCTGAAGTATCAAATAGAAATAATGAAACTAAGCTCCTTGGATTTAAATGTTAGCATTTCTTGTTTGTGTCTTGTTCTCTGCTTTATCCCTGCAGTATAGAGATTGCAAATTTTATTGATATGAGATAAAAAGTGCCTAGAGCCTTAAATCCTACATGTATGGCTTTCTGCCTTAGAACAGATGATAAAGGATCAATAATC